CTCGAATAATATAGAGAAAGCTTATTTTTTTTATTTTTAAAAAGAACATACCAATCCTGAACTTTAGAAACAATGAAAAGGTTATAAAAAATAACATGTTTAATGTTTTTATCGCTTTATTATGAATAGTCCCGTAATGGACTGATCGTTAAGACACGGTTCCCAGAAGATCACCGAAGGCAAGCATCACTGGCTGCGGTCAGTGTGCGGGTGGGTGACTCACTTGGATCAGTCTACGTAGGGACCGAGGGTGTGCGGTATTGGTCCTCGTTAAACTGTGCTACGTGATCGACTTCGCGCCCCGGACGTTGGGCTACCGAAGCGGGGGTGCCATCCCCCTGCAGAGGATCAAAATTGTGATGGCATGTCTTCGGATCATCCTCAGGGATGCTTCCCAGACCGTCGCCAATAGCCCATTGTGCAGCTCTAGTGCGACGTAAATGAAACTACAACTACAACAAATTAAAAAAAAGAAAATTATTATGAATAATTATTTTATAAATTTTTTTCTTCATTTATTTTAATTGCAATTGATTATAAAAAAGCACTTGAAAAGGCTTTTATCTGTATATTAATTTTTTGTAATGCGCACAATGATAATTTAGTGATTAAATTCTCTGAATTTTAACCGTACAAATTGAATTACGCTTGAAAACCGAACCAAAAAATCTTGATTGAAATTGTCTTAAAACTTCAACTTATTTTAATTATGAACTGCAGTACTGCCTCCGTGACTAGGTCATAACATCAAACATATTGAGCTAGGTTACAATTTGTTCCAAAGCCGTGTGACAGAGATTATTGCACCGCTTGTAAATTCTACCTTAAAGATAGGTCTCGCAGTGGACTGATCGTAAAGACAGGGCTCCCAGTAGAACACCGAAGTCAAGCATCACTGGCTGCGGTCAGTAAGCGGATGGGAGACAACTTTGATCATCCTACGTAGGGACCGAGGGTGCGCGGTATCGATCTTCGCTAAACTGTTCTACCGTAAAGTGCTCGACTTCGTGCGCAGGTTGTCGGGCTACCAAAGCGGAGGAGCCATTCATTCCCTCCGCAGAGGATCAAAATTGTGATGGCATGTCTTCGGATCATCCTCGGGGATGTTTTTTTTTTCTCAAATGGCAGGCACTGAACATTATTCTTCGCCTTAGAGGATGCCGGAATTGTTATTCATTTCACGTTACCCAGTGGGCACCTGTGAACCAAAGTCACGGAGGGGAGCAACATTACCCAAGTCACACTGCCACAAACCCGTTTATAGGGTGGGCCACATTCACACATCACACACAACAGAGGACAACACAAGAGAGAGAAACATCCATGCCCAGAGCGGGATTCGAGCCCGTAGCCATTGGCTTCGCAGTCAGGAGCGCTAACCACTCGGCAACCTGACCGGCTCCTCGGGGGTGTTTGCCTGACCTACCTTAAAGGATCCCAGGAAAAAAAGGTACGGAAAGAAAGGTCCCGGAAAAAAAGGTACCTGGAAAAAAAGGTACCGGGAAAAAAGGTCCCCGGAAGAAAAGGTCGCCGGAAAAAAAGGTCCCAGTAAAAAAGGTACCTGTGTAGGGAAAATATTTGAAATGAGAAGATTAGATTGAAACGCTTTTTGCTGTTCCGTGCATGCTTTTTTTTTTTTTTTTTTTTTCGTGTCACGCGTTTTTAAAGTGCTTTTTATCCAACTTTGGTTTCTTATTTATGCATTTATTCTTAAAAAGTTAATTAAATATGAAAATGTTCAATAAAATTGTTCATTTATTTTCTAAGGAGTAAAATTAATGTAACGCTTCTAATAGAAATTTATCTTTACAGTAACAGCTATCATTTTAATTATTTTACATCTTTAGTAATTAATTTACTAATTAAAACGTAAAAGGTTATTTAACGACAACGTAGTATTATAATTATAATGAATTTTTTTTCACATTTATTTACATTCACAATTAACATTAATTCAATGAACTATATTTAAGAACAAATTAGAATCAAAATGCTGGAAACTAATCAAAAGCAAACCTTATTGAATATTTTTAGCAGGATTTCATTGATTTAATCATGATTTAAGTCAGCTGGTTTTTTAAAAATAACATTGTTTCTTATTGAATCGAATGTTATTTAAATACTTAAATATATATTAGTCATTTAATGTACAGTCCGCAAAAAAAAAAAGATATCACCCTGAATAACTTTCGTTCTAATGATCGGAATTTCACGAACTAAGTGTCAATCCTAATGGTTCCGGGGGGTGACCTCAAATATGCTAATTAATTAGTGCTAACTATTAATTAAGTTACGAAATCAGACACAAAAACGTACTTTCTCTGAATAAACATATATTTTTTTTTACATATTTGGAATCTAGACACTTGAATTAGGGGGGGTAGACAAAATTTTAAAACAATTGGGTCGTAAATTGGGTTGCAATAAAGGTTTATATATTTGGCGATAGTCCAGAAAACCGCCAAAAAAAGTCGCCTGCGCAAATAAATATTTTAAGATAACCCTTGACTGATTCAAAAGAGAAACGCTTAATTTTACTAGGTTGCTAGGCAACCAATTTCTGACTGTAAAAAAATTGAAATAATGTTTTGTGATTGCTCTGAGAGGTTTAATTAATAGTTAATAGAAAACACCTCGAAGTTTCTAGGCAATAGACAATTTTTAAGTTCATTTATGTCCAAAAAGCAAAAAAAATAAATAAATAAATAAAATAAAAAATTATTTTAATCTCTTTTGAAAAGAAAATTTGAATCGATTTATAAGTTTTCAGAATTTAAATACATGAACTTTTTATCTGATATTATTTAGATTATGCTATTTTTGCTATGTTTATTCGAGGATTTCATACTAAAATCAAATTAACATAACTTATAATAGCTATATACAAAATTTTAGGGATAATGATTTTTACAGCTTTAATCGAGTCTTCTAGGCATGAAAGTTTGAAGGAAAAAAAAGTGCATGAAAAATAAAATGTAGATTGTATAGTAATTCTAATGCACATTCACAAGGTTTTCTGTAATTTACGATTTCTTTTTTCTATAACTCAATGAATTGCTGAATGTTTAGTGGCATTTTAAAAACATTGAAATATGTTATGTTTAAGAATAAGATATTGAAATAATATGTTGCATATTGTATGATTCATTGTTTAAAAAATTGCTTCATTTTGCTAGATATTTACGTTACATGGTTTTCTTTGGATAAAGATGATTAGCAAATAGCATCCACATGTTTCGATACATTCTGAAACTTACGTTCGCAAATTCACCATAAAATGTCGCACAGCATATTCTTCAATTACGATAAGCTACATTTACCACCAAATACTGCTACTATGATTATTTTTGTTATATAGATATCAGATATATATATATATATCTGATATATATATAACAAAAATAATCATAGTAGCAGTATTTGGTGGTAAATGTAGCTTATCGTAATTGAAGAATATGCTGTGCGACATTTTATGGTGAATTTGCGAACGTAAGTTTCAGAATGTATCGAAACATGTGGATGCTATTTGCTAATCATCTTTATCCAAAGAAAACCATGTAACGTAAATATCTAGCAAAATGAAGCAATTTTTTAAACAATGAATCATACAATATGCAACATATTATTTCTATATCTTATTCTTAAACATAACATATTTCAATGTTTTTAAAATGCCACTAAACATTCAGCAATTCATTGAGTTATAGAAAAAAGAAATCGTAAATTACAGAAAACCTTGTGAATGTGCATTAGAATTACTATACAATCTACATTTTATTTTTCATGCACTTTTTTTTCCTTCAAACTTTCATGCCTAGAAGACTCGATTAAAGCTGTAAAAATCATTATCCCTAAAATTTTGTATATAGCTATTATAAGTTATGTTAATTTGATTTTAGTATGAAATCCTCGAATAAACATAGCAAAAATAGCATAATCTAAATAATATCAGATAAAAAGTTCATGTATTTAAATTCTGAAAACTTATAAATCGATTCAAATTTTCTTTTCAAAAGAGATTAAAATAATTTTTTATTTTATTTATTTATTTATTTTTTTTGCTTTTTGGACATAAATGAACTTAAAAATTGTCTATTGCCTAGAAACTTCGAGGTGTTTTCTATTAACTATTAATTAAACCTCTCAGAGCAATCACAAAACATTATTTCAATTTTTTTACAGTCAGAAATTGGTTGCCTAGCAACCTAGTAAAATTAAGCGTTTCTCTTTTGAATCAGTCAAGGGTTATCTTAAAATATTTATTTGCGCAGGCGACTTTTTTTGGCGGTTTTCTGGACTATCGCCAAATATATAAACCTTTATTGCAACCCAATTTACGACCCAATTGTTTTAAAATTTTGTCTACCCCCCCTAATTCAAGTGTCTAGATTCCAAATATGTAAAAAAAAATATATGTTTATTCAGAGAAAGTACGTTTTTGTGTCTGATTTCGTAACTTAATTAATAGTTAGCACTAATTAATTAGCATATTTGAGGTCACCCCCAGGAACCATTAAGATTGACACTTAGTTCGTGAAAATCCGATCATTAGAACGAAAGTTATTCAGGGTGATATCTTTTTTTTTTTGCCGACTGTACATGTGTATTATAATATCTGGTCTTTTACATATTTTAATTTTTTTTTTCGTAGTTAGGAAATATGAAATTTCCAGAAAAAAAGAAACCATTCATTAAAGTAGGATTGCTTTTTTAATAAGTAAATAAAAAATCAGTATGCTGCCCAGAAAGCGAGAGGGGAAATATCCCTACAGATTTTCCCTATGGAGGTACCTTTTTCACCGGGACCTTTTTTTCCAGGGACCCTTTTTCCGTACCTTTTTTTCCAGGGATCCTTTTTTACCGTGACCTTTTTTTCCGTACCTTTTTTTCCGTCTACCCCTTAAAGATAGCTATAAAGTTTTAAAATTTCCCAAAGCTAATGGCAGCAATAGCTTGCATTGCATCCTATTATTCCAAAAACAACCCATTTTGCATAGGTCGCAATCGTTCGTAAATAGTCGAAATAAAGCATATTTCGAATGCATTTATAGAAACGCATCAAACTCAAAAGTTGAAAAGATGTAGTGCTGCTCTTTATTTCTTCCTTTTACTGTGCACCCCATATTGTTGATATTTTGTATTTGACGTCGGATGTTAAATAGCGGAAGAATTTGTTCAAACCAATTTATATATTATTGTTTTTCCATTATTATTAAGTAAAAATGGTTTAAACTTACGTTGCAATTTGTTATAAATGTAAACTTCTTTAAAATTGTTTTGTTTGTGATTATCAATTTATTATGAAAGAAAGTTTTCAACAAGTTTCATTTTGAGATAATTTCGTAATTATGCAAAATAAATCATATTAAAAACTTTAATTGATTCTTTGACGCATGATTACATTTGATAATCATTTCTTATCAAATTTTTTAGTAAGTAAATTACTTTTAAAATTTTAAAAATTAAAGTTTTGTGGAATTATATTTAAAACTATATTATTTTCCTTTTTGATTGTTAACCCGTGTATATTTTTACTTCCTTCAATAAGTTTTAAAAAGCCCTGTCTCTCTTAATCTTACACATCAGCAGTTTTTTTTTTTTTTTAATTAAATAAATTTAGATCAAGGCACTTTGTGCATTGTCTCAGAATTTGAGAATATTTCCATATTTGTCGTGCTAACTACAATCGCCAAGGTGCCAGATGGATTTTGAAATTGAAATTTTTAAAAAATATATATATAGAGAGAGAGGGTTCATCCACTTTTGTATTTTTCTTGTTTCTTTCTTTAAACTTTCTGCAGGCTACTGCTGGGAAGTTTACAAGATTTGGGCATTATGCTTACCCAATACTCACCCTTTCCATTTGTGAGGACAAAATTCTTCTCAAATGTTAACTTAAGCTATCATCATTGTGGCATTGGAATCAGAAATTTTTATGTATGTATACCTGTGCTTAAATGCTTGTAAACTTTTTGCCAGTGGCTCACGAGAAACTATAAAAACCTTAAAAGAAAGGGACTAATTTGGAGGGAGCCTCAAGCCCACTCCGGGCGAACCACTAAATTTTTTTTTTTTTTAAATGAATTTTTGACAGTTGAAATACCTTTTAGCATTGTGACAATTGTAATTGGTTTAGACAGACATCGACATGGGGATATTCCTCAGAAACTTACGATAATCACTTATTTTAATGATAGAATTTTTTTAAAATTATTACCTTATTAAGATTATCGTTAAAAGATATTTCAAGCTCTTCTCCCCATATTTATACGAAATAATTTGTAATGAAATAACATAATTGAAAAACATTGTCTTTATAATTGACTTATACTGTATTTTTTCTGTTTGTAACTCACTCAGAGAACATCGTGAAGTTTTAAATTTTTGCATTTGTAATTTATCATTTAAATGAATATAAATTAAGACGAAAAATTGGACATACTATAGTTTCGGTGGTATAAACACAGAGGAAGGTTCTTTATTTTAAAATCAAGACCATAATTTGTCCATTTTGTGCCATGTTATTTCATTCAAAATTGATGAATGTTTAATGACAACTAGGGATTTAATGAATATTCGGCCCTTTTGCCGAATATTTGGCAAAATATTCTGCCTAATGTTTGAAAAATTATTATTCGAAAAAAGTTTTTTTGGGGGAAAATTTTAATAGCATTAATGAAGAATATCTTATTTTTTACTATATGTTATTATAAATTGTTTTAGTACATGTTTATTAAGTTCTAAAACTTGTTAATATATGTTCTGAAAGACACATGGGAAAGCAAAATTTGAAGGATTTAAACTTGATCACTTTGTACTGAACCATGAGTTTTTTAATGCTGTTTTTTTTTCTTTTTTCAATTTTATTAAAGAAAGTCAATTTAATTTTTTTCCCATTACTTTATATTTTAAAAATTGATAACTTTTTCCGCTGTTTTGTTTGTTTCTTTTTTGTGTATGTGTGTTTCAGTTTTCACTAAAGCAAAGCATGTTAATGGAGGGTTTCTAATATACTTGATTCTTTTATTGTCAGTTTTTTCTTGTACAGTAAAGAACATAACTAGTAGCATAGAATACAGTGATTCTTAACATTAAAGTTATATTTTAGAACTAAGAATAGTTTATTTTCTCTTTTGTTTTATTTACTAATTTTTCTCTTCATCTAAAAATATTTTCTGATATTTAAAAGTAACTCTTGTTTGCAGTATAAAAGTGACATTTTGCAATTGTCAAAGAAACTAAATGGCCACTAGTCAATATGCAGAAGAAGTGGGTTGTTGGAAGCGGGAAAATGTTTTGGGAACTGGAGGATTTGGATATGTGGTGCTATGGCGAAATAAGGTAGGCTTACTTTAAATTTTATGCTTTTATTATAGTTTTTAGTATATATATTTATGTATTATTAATTTTAAATTCGTAATTTTTTCTCTTTTTTTTTTTAATAATAAATTTAATTTATTGTCTTCTCAAATTGTGTTTAACAAACCTACAAAATAGGTGCATATTGACAATTTTATGTAATAAACATGCAGCATCAATGTCACCTGCAGAAACTTTCTCAGGGATTGCATCAAAGTAAAATTTTTATTAAAATATTTCAAGAATGGTATAAAAATATTATTTTTGATTTATGCTTCCTAAATGTTTACAAATAATTCAATTATATTTATTTAATGCTATAGACCAGGGGTAGCCAACCTGCGTCTCGCGAGCCACATGCGGCTCTTTGAAGGATTATTTTTGGCTCTCGATAAATGTGCCCGAGTTCCCTTTTCATTTTTGTGCTATTATATTTTAAAAAATTATTATCGTTCCGTATGTGTATCAAAATGTCTTTTAAATTACTGAGATCCTTTTCCAATATAATTATGATGCAGAAAGCTTTACGAGAATTAGAATTAATAGAGATGCAAGAAGATCAAACTCTACAATTTAAATATAAGTCGACGTCGATTACTGAATTTTGGAAATTTGTACCAGAATCGAAGTATCTTGAATTAAAAAAGGCTTCTTGTCAAATTATTTCAACATTTGGAACAGCGTACTTATGTGAATCATGTTATTCCACTTTACAATTCGTGAAATCTAAACACCGATCAGTATTAACTAACCAGCATCTCAAAGAATTACTGAGAAGTGCTGCCAACTATTCACCAAATTTTAAAGAATTATCAAGAGAAGTAAAATAAATGTGCTTATTTTTTAATATTTAAATTCAGTACACATTTTTTGTACTTTTACTTATATGTTTTCAATAAATATAATTTATGTAAAAAAACAAAATTTGTACCTTTTTTACATACCTTTTAAATACTTACCAGGGGTCTGTCCAGGCCGAATTTACTACCGTTTAGCAGCACCGTCACAAATTCAATTTTAGCAAAAACGGTAGTTTCACAAAATACTTTTTCTTAAAATTTTATTTTTGTATCCCTTAAGAAGCGATAAATCCATATTTTTGTGTTGATTTTTAAATATAATTTTTATTTTTTCACAAATTATGTCTAAATTTTCACAAAATAGGTACCTCAAAGAAAAACTTAGACAGACCCCTGCTTACTTAATTGCGGCTCGCGAAAAATTTCAGATTTTGAAAAATGGCTCGACTATTAAAGAGCTTCGCCACCCTTGCTATAGACCAATATAAAGTGTAAATTTTTAGCTACATTTCAGTTTTAAAAAAAATCATAAAAATCATGTTAGTAAAAAATTATTCAAATAAGTATTTACCATACATATAGAAATACAAAAAACAGTGTGTTTTCCTTTTTCATTATTATTTTTTATAATTTTGATTTAAATATTATTTTTTATAATTTTGAATTAATATTATTTTTAGCAAGTTACTGCTGGTAATTATTTTATTTGTATGACATTATATTTAGAATGTAACTTTTGCACTCTAGTGTAAAAGATTCAACAAGGCAATATTCTATTTATTATTTCCATTATTTACTCATTAATCTAATACCTACTTTAGTATGTTAAGCAATTATTACCCTACTCTTTATTACCACAATACAAATAAGTACCTATTACCACAATTAATTAAATATCACCATTGTCAATAATAATTTGGTGATCTTTTTAAAATTAATTCCTCTGACTTTAGATACAGATTATTAAATTTGACTCTAACATTGTTAATTCAGTAAACCTTTTACATACTAAGCTGAATTTTAATCTTATATCTCTATTAATAAAGAAATAAGATAATATTTTTTCATAGGAAACGAATGACACAATTGCATTAAAAGAATGTCGTTGGGGTCATGATCCTGCTATGACACCAAAGCATAGAAATCGTTGGAAGTTAGAAGTAGATATGATGTCCCGTCTGGATCATCCCAATGTTGTCACTGCAATACCTGTACCTCCTGAGCTTGATGTGCCTCCTACTGAATTACCATTACTAGCCATGGAGTATTGTAGCAATGGGGATCTTCGTAAGGTGCAATTTTTGTGAAGATCTTACTTAGCTTTGCTCTATTGAAATTTGTCATCTTATTTGCCTAACTGATTCTTTTTTGTTTCAGTACTTATGATACCATACTGCAGTAGAAATGCTTTCTGGCAAATTCTGTTTTGTCTACATGAGCAGTTTAAAATTTTATGTATAGAAAAAAGTGGGCTTAGGTTAACTGAGAGTAAACAATAAAGTTTCAAATGTTGAAAAAAGTTTTCAGTTTTCCAAAATGCGAAGAAATTATGGCTGGATTACCCATTAAAGATGTATTCTTAAAATAATTTATTTGCATTTTGCTATTTTCTAAGGTAAGAAGAAAAAATCAGCATTTGACACTTTATGCGGTTTTCTCTAGTTTTTTCCTGAGTTCTGTTTCCTATATTTTAACTTACCAATCGGGGTAAAAAAAATCTATGAAAATTTTTCCCTTGGTATAGCGTCTTCTTAACTTCTTTTTTTTAAATTTTCCGATAAATTTTGTATAATTTATTATTATAGATGTAATCATTATTATTTCATCCAGTTATTTTCATTTTAACGTATAAAATTTTATAATCCTCTAAAATGTAAAAAGTCAGTTTTGTTTTCATTTTGTTTTGTATTGTTTTAAAATTTTGGTTTAATTTCTTTTTTTTTATCAATTTTTTATTTAAGGGTGACAAAGTATCTTATTTTTTTATGCTAGTAAAGCTTACTGATTTATTTCATAAAAAACTATGTAAATGAATAACTTACTACTTTACTTCTTTGTTTATATTAACCATTGCTTATAAGTTTATAGTTTATATTGAAACTAATTCTGTACAATTTATTTTTTGTTTTAATACTTATATAAAAAATTTCTTTTTTTTTCTTCCAGTTATTGAGTAAACCAGAAAACTGCTGTGGCTTGAAAGAAAAGCATGTAAGGCTTATAATGAGGCATGTCTCTTCAGCCATTAATTACTTGCATTCCATGAGAATCATCCACCGGGATTTAAAACCAGAAAATATTGTTATACAAAGCCAAAATGAAAATGTATGCTTTTTCCATCACATATGCATTTTATATTCTATATGTATGAAAGAGTCTTATATGATATCAAAGTTAGCTATAACTAATAATCACACTTTTCTAGTAAATAGCAAATTATACAAATTCACAGACATTGCTAATTAGTAGAATGCTAATTATTTGAGATAATTTTACTACATCATCAAAATATCCTTTCTTAATTATTTTTTAGTATGTAATGAATCTAATAATGTTGTTCTAAATAAGCTAAGTTATCCTACTATTTTTTATTTTAATGTGTAAAACATGGCTGAAATGCTTAATTACTTTTATTACATGCATTAAAATTTGCTTAGACCTAATTATCTATATGATTAAGCTTCGAGAAAAAAGTGCCTGTGAAGGTATAGGCCAGGGGTGGCCAATCTCCTTGATAATCGAGCCATTTTTCAAAATTTGAAATTTTTCGCGAGCCGCAATTAAATCTGTATTTAAAAGGTATGCAAAAAAGGTATTAAAAAAATAAGTACAAAATATGTGTATTGAATTTAAATATTAAAAATTAAACACATTTATTTTACTTCTCTTGATAATTCTTTAAAATTTGGTGAATAATTGGTGACAGCACTTCTCACTAATTCTTTGAGATGCTGGTTAGTTTATACTGATCGGTGTTTGGATTTCACGAATTTTAAAGTGTAATAAAATGATTCACGTTGTTCCGAATATTGGTTGATAAAAGTACGTTGTTCCGAATATTGAAATAATTCGACAGGCAGCCTATTTTAATTCAGGATATTTCGATTCAGGTACAAATTTCCAAAATTCAGTAATCGAATTCTAATTCTCCAGACGCTTTTTGTGTCATAATTATATTAGAAATGGAAAACTCACCTTGAATTGAGCAACGTTGCACTTAGTCTTTCATATTTGTTCTCAGTAATTTAAAAGACATTTTGAAACACNTAAAAAAATTATAAATAAAAGATTTTTTTTTTTATGATGACAATTTAAAACTTATTAGATTAAAACTTTTTCACTTAAATTGTTTCGAATTCCACTGATACGTAGCATAATAATTTTTTATTTCTTAACTAATGAATATGATTTACTTGTGAACTTAAAAAAAATTATATCATTGTTATATTCCTTTTTTAATGTAACATTTGAATATCTCCTTACAAAATTTCTTTATCTTTTGTTAATTGTTTTATTTCCCCTTTCTCACTTATTTCATTGATAGTAATTTGATTGCCTATTTCAAATCTCTCTTTTTTTTTTACTCTAAAATCAAACTATTTATTTAAAATGTAACAAGATATTAAAATGTTTAATTTTTCAGCATTATTTTCCAAATTGGGACAAAGATTGTAAGATAAGAAATTAAAACACCTTTGAACATAAACTGAAATGAGTTACAATAATATTTAACTACAACATTACTACAAGATTTGAATATTATGCTCTCTTGATTTAATTCATGATTTTTGAATCTGTTTTTTTTTCACAATATTTTTAGGTAGTATATAAGCTCATTGATTTAGGATATGCTAAAGAGCTTGATCAGGGTAGTCTTTGCACTTCCTTTGTTGGCACTCTTCAATATTTAGTAAGTATTTTGGTAAATTGTTTTGTAAAAATAACAATTTTTTTACATCTGTTTCTAAGCTTATTTTACATAATTTATTTCTTAATTATCAATGATATGAGTATAAAGATACTTTTACCTATAATTCATTACTGTTTTTTTTCCTTCTTTATATTAATTTATATATTATAAATAGATATTATCCCTTAAGCAAAAAAAAAATTATATTCGTTACATATTACATGTCATATTGTTAAACTTCTGTGATAAAATATGTCAAAACATTTATTATTTAAAAACTACTGTGAATTAGTATAGAGCTTAACTGTTAGTGCTAAAAATAGCTATTGTAAATTTTGGTCTAAAAGTCGATTTAGAATGAAAGCTGGTTGTGTTAAATCAGATACTAGTTATTCCACCCTAAAAAAAAATTATAAATAAAATTACACTTATTTTAAGAAGTTTATCAGTATAGATAAATACACAATTAGGAGACTAGAAACAATTACAATTATATACTAGAGGTAAAACTCTTTATATCATACATATTCTTAAATGGTACTATAGATTTGAAATATTTAAACCATGTCTGTGTTGATTTTAGACACTATGTATCCAACATCATTGTTAACGTTTAATATATGATTTACTTAAACATCATATTATAAAATATTTAAGTTATTTGTTTTGATTGCTCAAAATTAATATTTGTTTGTAATTTTCAAGTAACTGTTTTTTATTGAGGAAAAGATAGGGAATTTCTTTTCTAAGTATTTGTGGCCCTCTTGTGTTATATACATCTTTAATTTACTAAATGTATCGATACTTTTAAAAATTTATCGTAATCACTTAAAATGTTGTTTAATAAAATATTCAATCCTGTTCTTCATTTTTTAATAGTTTTAGTTAATTTAATTATATTTAAAATTTCATTAGAAAGTTTTTTAAAGTAATTTTCTTTTTTTAAATACATTTTCAGGCACCTGAATTGTTCATGTCTCAGAAATATTCTTGCACGGTAGATTATTGGAGTCTAGGTCTTGTAGCACATGAAGTTATTACAGGATCTCGTCCATTTCTTCCAGATAAATCTCCTGCTGAATGGTACTGTTTATGCTATTTTTACTATTAAATATTAATTTTAAGAACTGAAAAAAATAAAGTTTTTACTATTTTTTCAATCAACTGCAGTTAATGAAATTAATAAATTTTTGTTGTGGTATTTTTACTTATAATCTTGGCATTTTTAATTATGTACTTGTAGTTTTTCTCTTTTTCATGAATTACAAAGTTCATTTAAAAGTTCATTATCAGTAGTCTTAATTAATATTTATACGTGTAGAATAAAAAATTGAAAAGTAAACATTTTATAGAGTTTTTCTTTATCAAGTTTTACTTTTTAGAAAAATCATTATTACTATTCATGTTTATAAAAATTTGTTATTCGAATAGTTCAATCCATTGTACTATAATTTATTATTATATCTAACATTGTGTAAATTTGAGTAAAAAAACATTTTTTAATAATTTCAAAACACAAATTGTGTCCTATGTTTACATATTGAATAAAATGCTATAACACCTTATAAAAAAAAAACCTTGTTTACTTCAAATAAGGTCTAGAATTATGTTTAAATTTCATATAATCAGAAAAAGTCTGTTTTTTTCCCTTCTTAAATTGAGTATTAAAAATATTATTATTATATTTTTTTTTTGCATAAGTTTGCATTTTTCATAGTTTTAAATATTTGAGTCTATATTTAGGGAATGGGAATTTTTTTTAATTTCTAAATATTTCAAACTTAATCTAATTTGTCTTATATCCTTATTTTTAATTTTTGGAAATCATTATTCACACATTTATGCATAAATATGCGTATATCTATTACTTTTTACCACATATATTTGTGCTAGTTTGCACCATATTCTTCTAAAAATGGCTTCTGTATATGATAAATAAGTTAAATATAAATAGTATAAATTGCTAGGTAAATTGGCTACTAAACGAACTGTTTTTGAACTCCATCTTTCATTGTGTAACATCTAACGATAAAAAATGGCATTCTTAATAAATAGTGTTCAAACTTACTAGGTAACCTACTTAGTTATTCAATGCATTATATTTTCATCAAGTGTCAGAACAAAGAAACTGATAGAAAAATTCAGAAGTTTTGCCGAGTTTTTTCTTTTCAATTTTATTAAAGTATTTTTTAATGTAGTGCACAATTTTTGTTAAAGCTATCCTTAAAGTTAAGCTATATTTCAAGATAGTGGTATATATGTTCTCATAATTGTTTTCTATGAGACAACTTGCTCACTCAAACTTTATGTTTAGAATTGTATATTTTATGTATTTATTTTATTTTTGCTATTGCATATTTAAACATTCTTTTTATTTAAAAATGTTTGGTGTATTTTTAATTCTTAAATTGTGTAATTTATATTTTAGGATTCCCATTATTCGACAAAAGAATTTTGATCAGATTCGTGCTTATTTAGATGAAGATAAAAACATTGTATTTTCTTCTGAAATAGCACCGTGCTATTATATCTCCGAGTAAATATTATTAATTACTCAATTATTTTTCCTTATTTATTAATTTTGTGGATTAAATATTAAATAAAGTGTATTTGTTTTGCATTATAGTTTAGGATAATAAAATTCTTATTTGTAGCTGAAATATACATAAAATAATATTTCAACTTGATAAATTTTTGTTCCATATTTATTATCATTGAAAAAGAAGGTACCACATGCATTTTCAATTCAAAAAACGCAATAATTTGTGTTCTTGATGATTTATGTATTTTTGATTAATATTTATGTACATCTACATAAGTTTTAAATTGAATAATTAAAAATTTAATGCCTCATTATAATCCTTTGGTTCTGAAATTAGCTATTTCTTCACAAAGCTTGAAAAAAATGGTTAGCTTTAGCTAAGACTCATGCTATGTCGCAATAAATTTTATGGATTAGTTCAATTAGTACGTCTTCATGAATTTTATGAATATTCAGTTTTTTATTAGCTTGACATTTGTATCAACATAAAAAAAATTCAAAATAAATAAAGACAGACTGGAAGGCAGAGTTCTGTTTTGTGGAAATAAAATGAAAATTCAGGTTTTCTGTAAAGATGTTGACGGTTTTGTCTCTATATTAAAAAAATCATAGGAACCTCCAACGCTGTTTTGGGTGTTCTAATTAACATAGCGTTTTTATTTTACTACGCAAAAAGTGTAAGACCTAAGCACTTTAAATTGTTATTGTGTATAGAAAATTGTACAAAAATTAAGATAGAATAAAAAAAAATGAACATTCAATAATTAGTTCAAGAACTGTTAACTACTTTTTTTTGCAGATTTTTCCGCAATTTTTTTGCTTGACATTTTGCTTTGCTGCTCAAAATTTATCAGACTTAGAAACTAGAAATTACGAAAGGTATGCTGAAAAATGTACAAGGAGTTCCACAGAATAATAAAAAGCATATATGATTCAATTATTGTTTAAACTTGTAATTATATATATATGTATGACCGTGTTTGTCTGCTAAAACAGCTACCGAGTCGAAATTGTATGTGCTAGCAGGACCATTTTGAATTACAACTTTAACGATAGTTTTTTTCGTAGCACCTACTTGCTGGAAAGTTATAACAATTTTAAGTTTTTTATTTTTGTGATTTTTTTTTAACTTTAAATAATTATCATTTATCGATTGTTGTATAAAAATTTATCCCTCTCACAATTTTTTTTTATAAGCTCATGCTTGACCTAATGTCAAAAATAGCAACAACAAAAAAATGAATAATTAGAAAATAAGAGTTACCTTAAATATTGCTAGTTATAAATCTTAACATTTATATAAAAAATTTTAAAAATATAAAGACTGACACTGTGCAAACTGTTACTTGACATAAAATGCTAACTGTTATATGACATTAGGTTATTGTTAATTGTTTAAAAGTGAATTACTTTTCATTTATAACTGCTTATTGTGTCACATATTCTGCATTTACAAGTACATTCATTCCAAAATAATTATTTTTTAAGTACATTTGAGTATTTTTTAAATCCAGGTATCATTTCCTTATGATTAGCATATTAATAAAATGTCCTTACATTAATAATAACTACATATTTTCTAATCAAAATTATCGTTTTTATTGACTTTTTAGAATAAAACTTTACGAAGATCAAGGGGGGGGGGAGATTTATGTTTATTAAAGCTGATTCTCAGAAATAAGAATTTACGCACGGACAAGAATTTTTTTCCACAGCACAACCCACCCTCACTGTGTATTAACTCTTGGGAAGGTGAGGGTATTATTATTGATTTGCTATATTATTGATTTGCCAAAATGCAACAAATAGCAATCCAATAGTAATTTTTGTAAAAAATTGACATAAACCTTTTTCCCCCCTTGATCTTCAGTTGTGAATGAGAAGCAACCATGGAGTTGGGAAATGAATGGAAAAGGTGGCGGTGTCTTCTAGTAATAATAATAAAATAAAAAAACACAGATTACATCTTTTGTTCGTTTTCATCTTTTGATCTAAGCTATTTAATTTGATTATATAATTGATGCAATATTTCAAATCATGTGCGTAAAATATAAATTCATCATCCATGTGTATGATTTTTGTTAATGTCTTGGAGGCAATGTTTGCAATCTTGGCATAATCCTTAAATGGGTCTGGTTCATTTCATTGACAGGGCATTTCCTTGACTAGGTCATTTCGTCGACATGGTCATTCTGCTGGCAGGGTCATTTCGCCGGCGAGGATTATTTCTTTAGCAGGGTCATTTTGTTGACAAAATGACCTAGTCTATAAAATTATCTGTCAGTGAAGTGGTGTCAAGAAACAACCTATCGATGAAGTGATTGTCGCTGAAATTAACACGGCCCTCCTTAAACACTTTATAGCTCCCTAACACAGTCATAGTTTTGACGAAAATGCTGAAATATTCCACAATATTATAATTTTAGATATTCAGATTTTTCGGTATTACGAAAAGATTTTTTCTCCCTCTTAGTGTGTGTTGGTGTATTGTTCGCATTTCACTGTATTATATTTCTTAAAATGCATTATTATTTAAGAAAGAAAAGAGAGCTAAATAATTTTTTAAAGCTCATAATTTATTATCTCTACTTGATTTTTAACATACTTATAATGAAAAGTACCTGATAGTTATACAATTAGGTACTTTTATAATTATGCATCGTTACAATATTATACAATATTACAATATTATACAATATTACAATATTATACAATATTATAATCAATATATATACAATATTATAACATATTTTTTTTTCATATAGCGCATTCAAGCAAGATGTTGAAGAATGGTTGCAATTAATGTTAGATTGGAATCCTAAGAAAAGAGGGAGAAAGGGAGATGTCACATTTTTCTCCCTTTTAGAGACTATTTTAAACAAAAAGGTATTTTATTGTTGTTATTATTATTTTTTATATTTCTTTCGCTGTTGTTGAACAAAGTTAGGTGCTGATGAACATTACAAGAGAATAAATACCATACTACCTATAATTCCTACTTTTGCAAATTTAAATTGAAATATTTCTCTTTTTGGTTTAGAGAGAGAAATATTTCATTGCTGAAAAAAAATATAAATACAAATGAAAAACCTTGATTTTTAATGTTTCTAAAGCTGCTATGTTTGTATTTTGTATAAATTTAAATTAGTGAATATTTTAAACCATTTCTAAAAAAATATTCAAATAATTTATTATTATTTTTTTAAAAAAAATATATATCTTTTTTCCCTTCTCTCTCATAATGAAGCTGGTAAAATATACGAAAAGCATAATTCTTAATGATTTAAAAATTTATTCAACTTATATACTCTTGTACCACCAAACTTCTCTTATAAATCTTGGCTGTTTATTTCCTGAAATATTTTTAGAAATAATTAGGAAGAAAATCAATCATATCCACTTCTGATTAAAATATCTGAATTGTTATGCTGATCAAAAATTTTCAAATAATTAGGAAAATTCCATTTTTAGGAATGTATTATTTCTCTATCTTTTTATAATCTTTGAACAAGATCTGTCCTTCATTGTGAAATCAATATAAATTTTTAGTTCATAAATTGTGGATGATGCGAGCCATTATCTACTGCACACAAAATTGTCTGTCCTTAGTTGTGTAATTAATATAAAGTTGTACTTTACAAATTGTGAATAATGTGAGCCATTATCTCCTGCACACCTAATATTGTCTGTCCTTAGTTCTGTAATCAATATAAAGTTTTAGCTCACAAATTGTGAATGATACGAGCCATTATCTACTGCACACGAAATTATCTGTCCTTAGATGTGTAATCAATAAAATGTTTTAGTTCACAAATTGTGAATGATATGAGCCATTATCTACTATGCACACCAAATTATCTGAATTGTTCTACTTAAACCAGGTATAAAATTTTTAAAAAATTAAACATTAACTACAGCTGATGAGGGAACATGAAATTGTACTCTTAAAAATTTCCAAAGAACATGTATTTAAAGATAAAAGAAAAATGTTTGTCCTCCTTAAATATGTTATGTTAAACTATCAATGTTTAATTTTTTATTCTACTTATGCTATTTTTAAAATCAACTGTTAAGCATTTTGAAGCAGCAATTTTAAGAAGATATTGTTTGTTTTATAGGTTGCTGTTGTATTTTGTGTTGAAACCTTAAAACTCTACAATTTGATAGTTACTGATGGAATGAGCTATCAAGATTTCTGTGTGCAACTTGAAATGAAGACGGGTATTCCAGTTGCACAGCAAGAACTTTTTCTTTCTAATGGTCATTTCCCAGATACTCGAAAGGGTGCTGAACAGTTTGTTTGCAACTTAGTATGTGTATTTAAATTTTTGTTATTCATATCTTTTATCCTTGAATTTGTAGACATTTTTCAATAACTAATTTATTTTGATGAAAGATACTATTTCACCTGTTATTTTTTTATTTTATTTATTTTTTAAAAATTATTGAAATGGAATTTCCATTTTGCTTTAATGATTATTTTCATTACACATGCTTAATTTTTTGATTATTGAAAGGGCTTTTTCTTATTCTGTCTTTAGCTTAGCCATTTTTCATTAATGATGCTTAGTTTTTTTTTTATTATTGAAAGAGTCTTTATCTTGTTACAACTAACTTAAGCTTTTTAATTTTTTTGATGCACATTTTATGAAAATTATTAGAATGGAATTTTCATTTTGCTTTTACAATTTTTTTCATTAACCATACTTATGTTTTTTTAGTTATTGAAGGAAGCTTTATCTTGTTCCTTATTTGACTTAGGCTTTCTTTTTTACGTATTTCGTTTTACTCATTTTGTAAAATTTGTTGAAATGGAATTTTTAATTTGCTTTATTGATTTTTCTTCATTTTCCACACTTAATTTTTTTTTAATTATTAAAAGGGGCTTTATCTTATTCTATCTTTATTTTTAACTTATTCTCATTTTATAGAAATTTCTAAACATTTTTCATTCTACTGAAAAAAACTTCTTTTTAAGTTTCATAAATTATGCTTAATTTTTTATTATTGAAATAAACTTTATGTTGTTGTAAATTTAAACTTTGCAAATTTATTTTTTGATGCTCATTTTATGAAAATTACTGGAAAGAAATTTTATTTTGCTTTACAGTTTTTGTTTTCCATTCAGCCATACTTAAGTTTTTCGATTATTGAATGAGGCTTTTTTTTTTATCTTGATCCATACTTTACTTAAGCTTTGTTATCTATTTATTTTGATACTTATTTTATGAAAACTACTGAGCTGAAATTTGTATTTTGCTCAAAAAAAAAATTTTTGCGAAATATGTTTCTTTTTTTTTTTTTAATTATAGAATTATAGAATTATATTTTTTTTAATTATGTATTCATAAAAACTTTTTATTTTTACACTAATTTTTTAAAAAAATGTACATTTTTCACTTACATATTACATTTGTCTAAAATGAATTTAATATCTTTTGTTATTTAAAATGAGGAATCATTGTTTACAAAATTAAAAAGAATTAATTTTTTTTATAATCATCTTTGTTGGAAACAGATAAATTACAACCAAGTTAAATTTGTAGTTATTAGGGTTATTTATTTTTGTATTGTATATGCCATACTCATTACAAATAAAAAAATCTTTCAAACCTTATATGTGTGGCATATTTTATATATCATGCAGAGGTTTTCATACAACTTCTATCATTTACTTAAAACTACTATAACATAACTTAGTTGTAAAAAATATGTAAAAATGGAAACTTATTATCTTAAGTAACATTTATATTTTTCTAAAAACAATAAATGTATTTAACTTCAAAGAAACTTTATTTATAGAAATATTTGAAATATCAAAATGGTTTAAAAGTAAGACATTTTGGAACTTTAATCTTTAAATTTTTTAAGTAGGAAATATAAAACTCAACTATTACATCTGTCTTATGAAAATTTAAAATAGATTTTTTTTCATTCTTTTTTTATTTTTTGAAATATAAGTATTTTTGTGATAAGGGAGTGTTTTTACTGAAAGAAACTGTGGTAGTGTCTCGCACTAAAACTATGTTAACTTTTTACTTCATAACAAAAATAAACATTTGCACATTCATTTTTATTTACCTTTAATCAGTGGTACTAACTTTTTCATGATGCTAGAATTATTTGCACCTAATTTTTGTCTGTATTTTACTTGTAGATTTATGCCATTAAAATTGTTAAGTTATAATGTAGTAGTTACAGGGCCATGAATATTGCTAGATTTTTCAAATTAAGAATCATATATCACTGACAAGAAAGATGAGACTACCTTTTTTTCTTCCTCCAAGATTTGACATGTCATCAAGCAAAAGAATCAGATTTCTCCCAAGAAATAAGTTTGTCATGAGACGACCAATCCTCTTTTTGCAATGTACATATTTTATGAATTTATGGCAATAGGTTTTAAATTTTTTCACAAATTAACATAACCTTTTTTGTAGATTTTTAGCAAAACAGATATTTTTTTTTATTTGGACTATTATATCCTATTCCTCTTGTATCTTACATAAAAATATAGAGCAAAAACTCTAAATATCATCAATGCTATAAAAGATTTAAGTTAAATTGTTCTATTATTAAATACATAATTTTTTGGTATGTTATTACAAATATTGACAATGAATTTTCATTGCATTTACTTACACACATGGCTAAAAGTTTCCCTTACTGTCAAAAATGCAAGGTACGTAGCATTTTTAAAAAATGTTTGAAGGTGGTTATTTTTGATTTACATTTTTAAAGGCCCTTAAAGGTGCTTTTTTTATTCGGGGTATTTTTATTATGGGCATAGTTTTCTATCTTTTTTAAAAAGAAATTTTTTCTTGGACGTGTCAATTGTCATTCTAAATTACAGAAGATGCATGATTTTCACAATATTTATCAGAAGGTCGGGATAGCCTGGTCGGTAGGGCGCTGGGCCCATATCCAAGAGGTCGTGGTTTCGATCCTCGCCGGCCGAAGACTCCCCGTGTAGTAAATGGTGACTGATGCACGTTAAATCTGTCGAGTCTCAAAGTCCTCCATGTTCCCATAACAAATCAATACCTCTGGGGGTACTGATCCAAGAGTTTCCTTGTCTTCTGGATTGGTTCAAAATTACAAGGCTACGGAGTTGAACGTAAGTAGTCGTAAACCCATGAAATTGGGTCGGCTGTTCAACGATGGTTATAAAATAAAATATTAATCAGAAACTAGTTATTTTATCATGATTATGTGAAGTTTGTGAAAATGTTTTAGAATTTTATTGATTTTATGTTCACAAATTAAGAACTTTAAACGATAGAAAAAATAATTTTTATTACTGCTGAGATAGTGCTTAAAATATTTTTTTTTTTCTTAAAAAGTACTTAAAAGGTGTTTATTTTTTGTTGAAAAATCTGGCTATGCACCCTGTCATGAGAACTGCATTTTTGAATCAGATTAGTGTAATATTAAAGAACTATACAATTTGTAATTTTATTATTAAAAAAAACTAATATGAAAATAAAATTTATTTAGTGTAATTAATTTTATATCTTTTAATTCAGATAAGATTTAAATATTTATGGATGTTGTGATTTCAGGAAGAAGAGGAGCAGGTCACTTACTTATTTGATTTGAAAAATACGTCTTCATTGCCATTACCGTCATCTGCTACTTATATTTCACCTTCTGTTGAAGCCATGATGAGGAAACCACTTGAGACTGTGGATTATCTACAACAACGTTCAGTTTGGGCTGAAGCTGTTCATTTATGCCAACAAGAATGCATTCGAACTTCAAGAGTTTCAAATGCCTTTAAAGCATATGTGTGAGTTTTACTAATGAATAAATTTTTAAACGTGTACTCATAATTATATAATTATGACATAAATTCAATTCAGGGGTCTGTCCAGACATTTTGTAAAGGATCTTGTTTTTGATAAATTGTGAAAAAATTACTCGTAATTTGTGTATATGAAATAAACGTCACATTCTTTCAACCAGGGTCCTACTTTTATGAATTAGTGCAAATAGGCTCCTGTTATTACAAAAACTTTTTCAATGAGTTTTTAAATTGTAAATAGATACAAGATTATGCTCAACACTGTAAAATTATAATAAAAAGATAAGTAAATTTTCAAAAATGAACAGCAATTGCTGCTTCTAAATTAGAGCTGCTACATACAGATATTTGGTATTTAGCCAATACTGCTGAACGCAGAATATTCATTTGGAATGAATAATGGAAGAAGCTTCTGCCGAAGACAAAACTTAATTCGTTTACATCCATCTTTCTTTTTTTTCCCCCTGGGAAGGGTTTATTCGATTACCAAAACAATAATGAAGATAAACAAATTTGTTAAGGGTCCGTTTTTAAGTTAAAATATTTTGTGAAGGATCCGTTTTTATGAAAAGATAATTTGTGAAGAGTCCGTTATCGAACCCAAATTTCTTTTAAACAGACCCCTGCAATTGTTGTATTTTTTCATTATTTTTAAGGCTATAACAATAACTGAAGCTTAATAGGAAAAAGAAAGTAGTTTAAAATGAAAATAATTCTACCTGCATGTTGCGTAGGGTTCTTAAAGGTGCTTATTTTCGTTTTTTAAATGCCCTTAAAGGTGCTTTTTTCATGGGGAGTTTTTTAAAAGTGCTTAATTTTCCCTTTTCGAAAATGAGATTTTTTTTTCTTTACCGTACCGATTTTTGCTGTGTATTATACAAAAGCGTGGTTTTCACTTTATTCTATTCAACGTTTTTACAATTCATTCCACCACAATCCATTTCGGCGCCATCGGTCCGTAACGTATGAATGAACCAATCATGTTACATGTTTAATTAAATACTTACAATTCCGCCTGTGCACCTGAGGTGAGTTTTTGGTGAAATTTTAGCACTCTGCTGCATTTTCCAAGATATTACAGGCTTCATTTTTCACCCTCTGAAATTGAACCTAAAAATTCCTCGATCTTTTTTAGTGGCTAGTCAAGAAAAGAGTACTATATCAGAAACTACTTATTTTATCATGATCATGTTAGGTCTTTGAAAATTATTTTGCATTTTGTTAATGTATATAATTCTTACAAATATTTTTGAGTGCCTATTTTTTTGTTGGGAGATTTGGCTATGCACCCTGACTTGTGCTATATGTCAATTGAAAAACTAATTCGATTTGGCAGTATCCTGCAGTGGACTGGTCGTTAAGACAAGGTTCCCAGCATATCATCGAAGTCAAGCATCACTGGCTGTGGTCAGTGAGTGGGTGGGTGACCACTTGGATCAGTCTACGTAGGGACTGAGGGCTAGCGATATTGGTCCTCGTTAAACTGTTCTACCATAAAGTGCTCGATTTCGCATGCAGGTCGTCGGGCTACCGAAGCGGGGGTGCCATCCCCTCTGCAGAGGATTAAAATTGTTGTGTTTTCGGATCATCTTCAGGGAAGTTTCCCAGGCTGTCGCCTAAAGCCCATTGTGCAGCTCTAGTGCGATAAAATGAACTACAGCAACATTGCAAATGGGTTTAACTTAGCAGCAAAAGAGGCGAGGATGGTTTGTAAAGCAATCTTCAGGGCTAGAGTGCGACAGCAAATAGGGGGGGGGGCGAAGCCTGCTATTTAGCAAATAAAACTCTAAACGCATAATCATGGTCAGAGCTGATTATTCTCCGGAAAAAAAATCCGGATTTCCGGAATTTTCGCTAACAGTGATCCGGAGGTTTCCGGAGATCGAAGGTCCAGATGTTTAAAAAAATCATTGTTCACAGAAGTTACCGGAAATCGCGTACCGACTTCGCGTGCAGGTCCTCGGGCTACCAAAGCAGGGGAGCCATCCCCTCTGCAGAGGATCAAAATTGTGATGGCATGTCTTTGGATCATCCTCAGGGATGTTTCCCAGACCGTCGCCAATAACCCATTGTGCAACTCTAGTACGATATAAATGAACTACAACAATAGCCCATTGTGCAGCTCTAGTACGACATAAATGAACTACAGCAACAAATCAATTTGGTAGTTATTTAAATTCTTTAAATTTTGGAGTGTAGAATAAGAAATAAAGTAAAATGTTTGATGAAATGGTGGACACAGCTTTTCCTTTGAAAGTGGCTTTCATATTCAATGTTGCTGGAACACTCTTATTCTGAAACTTAATTCCATTAGGCTGCGAGTAATAAAACCGCATAAATATAATTTTATTATTTCCATTTTTAAAAGTATTTAGTCTATTTTGGATTCATCTTGTTAAAACTAGTTTGTTGATAAAGTGCTTCATCCCAGCATTTTTGTAATGATTCTCAAATTTAAAAATTACTTTGTTTGAAATCGTGTGCAAAAAGGAATAATGCCAGATGTGATTATCGTAACATTTTTTATGTACACAACTATCAAGATCTAATCAGCTTGTTCAAACATGATGGCTTTCTCTCTACATAATGTAGTTTGGGATGATCGGGAAATGTCCTATTGTGTTTTATTAAACTCATCGTTCATCAAACTTCCCAAACTGTATTTTGGAAAGTTTGATGCAGGCAGGATTTGTAAGTTGATGAAATCATAAAAAAAAAATTTTTGCAGTTGAGCAAGACTTATTTCCAAACAATATTTCTATTATTATTATTATATGTCTCTGTCTGAAAAGTTTTTTCATTAAATGATAAATAAAGTTTCATAGTTTCTTAATTTTTTATGAAATTTATTGTGTTTCAATATGTTTACCTGAATTTTTATTTTTCATCCAGAACAAACTTAGTTGCAAAAAATTCAAGTGCTCACAAAAGTGTCTCTCGCATGACTGCCGAAATGAATAAATTGATGGCAAAATGTTCCTTTTTAAAACGCGGGTAAAGAAGTTTTTCCTCTCATAGTTAATTTAATTTCTGATTTTTCTTGCTGTTTATTTATTCTAGTTCAATTTTATTTACAGTCTTGAGTTGGACATCAAATATTATAAGAAGCAATATAAAAGGGGTGGATTTTGTAAGTATTTTTGTATTCAGTGCGTTTGTATTTTATCATAATTTATTTTCTATTTTATCGTAATTTATTATTCATAAGTTCCTACTCATGCTAAGTTTTAGTAGATATTTATTTCTAAATTTATGTAACTCTGAAATAAAATATCTTTACAATTGTCTAATGTAAATGATGTCTAAAATTAAAATCTATGTAACATGGTATTTAACTTTAAACATAGTTTTCTTAAACTTGTTTTATTCATAAATATAAAAATTTGGACGAAAAAATTTTGCCTTTATAATCCAAATATTAAATTCAGTCATCCTGATACCTTTAAAAAATAAAAATCCTTTTATTTGTGTATTTTATTTATTTATTTAATAATTTTCAGTGACTGTTAAATTATTCAGAGAATTGTGTTAATGTAATTTGTAAATTTATAATCTACTGAAAAAATATAATTTGGTTACTTTGCCTTAAAGGCTTGGAATTTTAACTTTCTTTTCAAATCTTGGGAACTTCGAAAACCTTCAAGATTTTTTTGATGATTTTTTGAGCAAATGCAGAAAGTTTTATCTGTAGAATTTCCTGTAAATGATAATTGGTGTTTGCTTTACAAATACCGCTATTATGTTGGAAAATAGCTGTAAAGGCATCAATTTTTCAAGCTATATTTTAAACACCTTTTGGAGAAAATTCCCCAAGGATATTTATAAAGTTATAATTAAACAATAAATAACTGGTTCAGTTATGCAAGTATAAGTTATTTGGGTGCATTTTTATTCATTGAATTTTTATTGATATCTAGTCTGCAATGTATGGGACATAACACTATCTCTCTTATCAAGGATAAATTATTTGAATACATTTTTTATTAATTATTCATTGATTTTCAGTTTACACTCTATGGGACTGAATAACACTATCTCTCTATGCAAGGATATTTAAAGTAATGCAAGGATAAATTATTTGGGTGCAGTTTTTTAATTAAATATTCATTAATGTTCAGTCTACACTGTATGGGACTAAATAACACTATCTCTCTATGCAAGAATATTTAAAGTTATGCAAGGATAAATTATTTGGGTGCATTTTTTTAATTTAATATTCATTAATGTTCAGTCTACACTGTATGGGACTGAATAACACTATCTCTCTATGCAAGGATATTTGAAGTTATGCAAAGATAATTATTTGGGTGCATTTTTTTGGAAATATTTATTAATATTCAGTCTACTATGTTTGGGGCTGAATCAGGGCTCGAAAAACCACCCGTCCGCCTGTCCTCGGCGGTCAAAAATTCCCCGCGGACAACGAATTTCTCGAATCCGACGTCCGCGCGGACGGCCATTTTCCCGTTAATGTTGGTGATACATTTTCAATTTTTGTTATCTTACAAGAGTCTAGCGCCTCACTTCTAAAATGACCCTCTAATCTAGATATGCAGCAGCATACTGGGTATGGAGGTATTGATGTGTTCTCTGTCTGGGAGTACTGCAGTGGTTGAAAGAGGCTTTTCAGCAATGAGCTTACAAAAAAACACATTACGTACTGGTCTTAAACAAGAAGCGTTAAACGCAATTATGAACATCTACCTAAATGGAAAACCCCTTTCAGATTTTTGTGCAGAAACCTCTGTAAATCATTAGCTTGATTGTGGAACTGGCAAACATCATATTTGATTCATTTAAAAAATGCACTACCCTCAGTTAAATTGACATTCCAGATAACTTGACATTTGTCATTTAAATTATTTCATAAAAGAAATAGATTATTTCATGAAATAAATAAATTATTTTATAAAAGAAATACTAGGTTTCTATTAGTAAGTCCTTTTATTACTGTATAATGCAATCCTAGTATTTGTAATCCTAGTAACTACTAATTCATTGTGCAATTTATATAAATGTTTGTAATAAATAAGAGAAAATCATATTTTTATTTGTTTAGAAGCGACGGGTTAGTTTCAAAGGAGGACGGGTACATTGTTGGACAAGCCGTCCTCGGGGACGGGTAAAATTTTTGATTTTTTTCGAGCCCTGGGCTGAATAGAACTACCTCTCTATGCAAAGTTGTGCGAAAGTAAATTATTTGGGTATGTTTTTTTAATTAAATATTTATTGATTTCCAGTCTATAATGTATCAGACTGAATAACATTACCTCTTTATTCTTGTTACTTGGACTCCAACTCTGAAGACAAAGATACTCTTAAATCAACCTGCTCGTTTCAATGTACTATTTGCCTTATTAACTTGAAAAAAATATTTGTTTTTTTGGAATTGTATTCTTCCAATAACTAAAAATTCATGTAACAAAATTGAAAAAAAATTGTCATTATTACACGTATATGCCTTGAGAATGTTTTTTGTCTTCTTTTCTTCTCTTTATGTTCACCATAATTTTTTTCTTATTTAAGCTTCCCCACAAATGATTGAGGACTGGGAAAGAACTCATGAAAATTTGCAAAAAATTGAGCTTTTGGTAAGTTATTAAGTTTAAATATATAAGGGATAACTTTTTTTTTAAGTCATTGTAAAATTAGCACAATCATTTTTTTTTTTTTTTTTAAAGAAGCATATAGTATGTTAAGCTTGCTATCTCATCTAACCATTAGTTTTGTTTAAATTAGATCTTAGGAAAAAGTATATTGTTAAACTATTTCATTAAAATCTTTTGTTTAACTTATTCAACTTATTCTTGATATTAGCTTGAAGCTCACTCAGCTTCAGATTTATGGATACCAGTTTTTCTGGGTGGTAAAAGCGCTCAGTGTTCAGTACTGAATTTTACTACAATTACTGGCTTTTACTCCATTTTTTTTTTTTATATGCTAGAATTAAAAATAGTAAAAAAACTTCCTGACTCACAACTGATTGCTGTGGGAATGCTTTACTTTCTTAACTAATTTTCTAATTTAATTATAATATAATTTAAAAAGGTTTACTTTATATTAATTATATTTTAAGTAATCAAACAAACTGTTTTGAATTATTATTTTTACTGTGTCAACATAATTCTACCAATTATTAGTGGATTCAGATTTTGATGCTTTATTATGTTACAGACAATGTGTTTTCTTACGTTTTCTAATGATATATTGATACAAATTAAGCATGAATATAATTTTATATCTTTTAGTTTAGAATTGTAATTCCAATTTTTTCTGAACCAAACTTTTCAATAGTGTAAATCTTTTGTTAATGAAATTTGATCTGTTATTATAGTGTCAAAACTAAAAAAAAAATTTTTTTATATGATTATTATACTAAACAAAATTTATTTAAAATTTTTATTAGAAACAAAAGGTTATAAATGTGGAAGCTTGTTATTCAAATATTTCAAGTCATGCTGTACATCTTCATAAATCACCTCTTGCTAGGACAAAACTTATAGCTCCCATTGAAGAAACGTGAGTTTTTACCTTTGAAACATTTTTCCCCTTCTCCTAACTTGCTATGCTGTACCTGTAATAAAAAAAGTTAATTTCTCTATTTTGAAATAGTGTGCTTTATATGGACATTATATATTTGAATTAAACTACAATAAATTGTATATTTATAGTATTATTTAGCTATAGGTCTTCTATTTTATTAGTTTTAGTTATGTAGTTAGTTATTTGTAATTTTTAAAATTGTTTTTTATAGTAAAAATAATTATCAAGTTGAATAAGTATTTAACAAAAATGGCTATTTTTATTAAGTTGAATAAGCATTTAACAAAAATGGCTATTTTTATTTAGCTTAACACTATGTCCTTAAAGCAAAAAAAAATTTTTTTTTAAATAAAATTATAGAAAAATTATGTTTTTATCAAAGCATTGCATTATAAATTGAAAGTAAATAATTTCTATAGTTTCAGCTGTAATGATAATTTTTGTTTTCATCAGAAGTCTTTAGAAATTGTAACTATCTTCTACAGAATTAATTTTACATGTTTTTATGTTTTATTTATAACTGCTTATTAATTCATTTTACATGTTTTTATGTTTTTTTTATAACTGTGTTTTGTCTTCAACCTAGATATAAGAAAGTTTTGGACTCTATTTCAAATCTCAGGAAACGATCGAAAGGTAAGTGTAAAATGAAACTATAGGACTGTTGATAAATTCATTGAACACAATTAAATCTCTAAACTTGTTAAAATCACATGGTTAATGATACTTCTCAATAAAGATTAAGTCTCAAGCAGGCGTAAGAAAGTGTTGATAAATTCAATACCAATTCTATATATTTGGAAACACCTCGTGTCTTGATCTGAGACTTTTACCGAAGACTTACCATCACTTTATAAGAAATGAAGTTATTTATGACCACACCACACAGCCATTTTCATGACATTGGTGACAAAATTGTGGAGCCTTGACCTTTAAGACATCTTTGGTCCACAAGTCCTTTACTATACAAAATTATTTTCACTTAAACAGGTCTTGATGTATCTAATTTTAAGAAAATATTTACAAATAATAGGATTGCAATTATTCTGAAATATTTTACTATATTTCTTCGTCCAATTTAATAGAGTGCATTTTTGCAGTGCAACTATTTATTTTAAAGTGAACTTCTTAAAAACTTGTCCGAAATAAGATATTTTTTTAATATATAATATTGCCTTTTAGAGCAGAGAAGGATACCACATGATAATACAGACTTTGTGAGATGTCTGTGCTTGTGTTTGCAGCACAATCATGCTCAAACTCAGGAGTTGTTAACACACATTAGGTAATTATAATTTTACTATATGTATTTATAAATGTATTAAAAGAATCACATAGTATGATATAGAACTATATCACATAGTTCTATCAATCATATTGGAGATTAAATCTTTTGCGTTGGAATTAATTGTGTCAAATATTTTATTAGTATACTAGCTGAATACCCAGTCTACATGTGGAGTAACAAAAAATTAGCTATCAATAAATCAGTGCTGAACATCATTATGAAATCATGCACAAAAGGAAAGATATATACCAAAGCAATTAAGAAAGCTAAAATAATTCTATTTTTTTTATTTATTATTTTTTGCCCTTGGTAGTGGCTTTATGCTATTATATTAAGCAAAACATTTTTTTAGAAGTTTATCCCTTAAAAATAAATATTAACGGCATTCAGTATCTTTTGACATGATGCTTTTGCTCGAGGCCAACTCATGATAGTCAAAATTTTGCACAAGTAAGTGATAATAAAATTTCCCCCGTAGCTAGCTTAAAACTACATTGATGCAGTTTTAATTAGGTATCAAATGCACTAATTTTGCCTCTATTAGTTTAGTTGGTATTGAGTGAAATTGCCTCAATTACCATAAAACCAAAAGTGCTTATTACCAAAGTAAAGCTCAATTGGCATCAATAGAATGGCAATATTTTTATCTTCCTAAACAAATTAGTACCATTTCTCTATTAATTTTGCTTTTCAGTACATAGCTTATTTTTCATTTCAGTTAGTTCCTATTATCAAAATTAATTGAGCATCATTGGTGTCAATAATAGCCTGTCAATTTTTCATTTTTCTCTAAAATGAATTAGTACAATTTCTCCATTAATTTTGTTTTTTTTATTACAGTTAGTACCCATTACCAAAATTGATTAAGCATCATTGGTATGAAAAATAAAATGGCAAAATTTTGCTTTTTAGTACGTACTTTAATTTTTTAAATTTCAGTTAGTACCTATTACCAAAACCTTTTATGCACTGTGGAGGTTGGTATGTTTGGCAGAATCCCACTTAAACTTTGAAAAGAAATCTGACTCCAATTTTAGTATAACTTTCAACAGTATAACTTCAATGCTGACAACCCTTGATTCCGGTAATTTTGGTGCCTTCACTACAGTTCATTCTCGGATTGCCTTGTTTTTCACAATATTTCTCTTTCTGATTCCTTTTACTTAAACAGTTATTTTAATAAAACATTAATTACCTTGATGTAATACATTAATGTTTCAATAAGAATCATCCTTATACGCCAAGTTTTATTAAGAATACCTGGTAAAAAATACCCTAACAAGTGTGGAAAGTGCATTAGGCTTTTGTGAGGAAGTTGTAACTGCACAATTTGCAAGCTTTTGCGTGTAATTTTTGATGCATATTAATATTTTTTTTAGAAAATTTTTCCAGCACAATGTGTTATTTGCTTAAATTTATTTCAGGAAAGTAAAGCAAGTGAAACAAGATATTGATGAATCATCACCTCTGATTATTAACTTATCATTAGAAATGTCTGAATGGGATGCTCAAATTGATGGTTGGCAATCGCAGAGGCAACGAGAAATATGGGCACTGGTTGATACATTGGTAATTATTTACTTTGGTAATGTTTATAGTAAAATTGACAAAAATATTATTTTCAATTTCTTATTAATAAAACTGAAATGGAGCCATTTAATTTAAAAGTGTCTTTAAGTTATTTTGAAATAGGAATAATAAAATTTTTTTATGAATTTAATTTAACAATAAATTGTTTTTTGGCTTCTAATAATGCTGAATTGATTATTGTTGAATGTGGGTTCAACATTGGGCACTAATTGATATATTGGTAATTTCATGCTATATACAGTACAGAACCCGTTATCCGGACATCAGAAAACCGCAAAACCAAAAAACCGGAACAAAATTCGATAAATTTTTACGCCATTTATAAAAAAAAAAATTTTTTTTTTCTTCATAACATTTTAGGATTTTTCTTTCTTTTTTGAAAGATGTTTACCTTACCATCATTTGGGAAATAATCATCAGTGTATTACTTCATCGTTTTTTCTTCTTTTCAAGATTATTTCCAAATATTTTTTTTTTTAATTTGGTTAACAGTAAAAAAAAAAACAAAAAAAAAAGGCTTCTTGTAGCGATCCAGAAAACCGGAAAAATCAGTTATCCAGAATAGCGATGGTCCCGATCATTCCGGATAATCGGTTCCTTACTGTATTTAGCTTTGCTAATGTATGAGGAAAATTTAGAATAATTTCAATTTTTCATTTATGTAACTTTATTTTAAAAGTACCTTAAGCTTGTCTTGTATGTTGAAATAATGGTAATAAAAGCTTTTTTTTTATTAATTAGCTTTAAAATTTCTTCAAAAATTATGATCGATTTTTATTTATTTTTACTTTGCTTTTGTATATAATCTTTGTTTTTTATGGACGTTTTTGTGATAACACAGCTTAAGAGTTTCTGATAGACATTATCGCTTATAATGTTTATGGATAATTTTTTCCAGCTAATATTTGTTTTAAAAATTAAAGGGATATTTTTTTTTCTATTTCTCTTTTATTCAGCTTTACAACTGTAGTTGTTTGTTCAATAACTGTTAGTTTTTTTATTTATCTTAATTATTTCTAGTGATCTGACTATCTATCTTAAACATTTATGTTAAAGTTTTTTTTTCCTTACCCCATACCAATAATATATCTAAGTTTTGAATATTTTTCAATAAGAACGAAACTTATTAATACATAAAACCTATTATTTCATAATGATTTTTTTTTAAATGGTGCCATTCAGTATTTGGCTAAATCACTGCTCGTCACATCCCTATTATTAACTGTTACTTTCATAAGTATCAGAATGTAAAAAATAGTGCGTGGAGTCCCTCCGCGCGGAAGAAGTGAAACTTCGTAATGTGGAAATGAAAGTAGGAAGGGGTAGAAATTGATTTTTAGTGAAATCAAATTGTTTCTTTAAGACAAACTTTATTAACATTGCTTACAATTCACAATTGATCGCATCTTTTAATTATCATTTTCGAGTGGAAAAATATCCAAATTATAACATTTACAATGGGATTATGATAACTAAAGTAAGATACGAAATGTTTGAGTTCTATTTTTTCAATATTTCTTGCAAAAACTGCATCAATGGTAGTTCCCCCTGTTGGACCATTCCTACCATTTATCATTTCCAATACAAATTTGTCTTTAAGGAAGGTTAAAATGTTTCAGGTAACGAGAAATTCACATTAAAATCTCCTGCAAGGATCACAGGCTGCTCGTTACTATGGTAGTGTTAAACTTTTAACGCAACCTTGTTGGAAGTCGCATTAGAAGTTTCACTTCATTAATCATGCATCATGTAAGGAATATTAACAAATTACTTCAGAGTTTAGCATATATGTTTATATATTAAACATTATTTAGCATATTAAACATGAAAATCTTTTTACTAATTTTAAATTTATAAAAGTTTATGTATTGTATTTTTTACAAAAAATTGTAAAGCCTTCACAAACTCTGCTTCGAAATCTTTTTTTATTCTGAGCTTAGGGTGCGATTTTCCTATAGTTGTATTTACTATTTAATTTTTTTCAACTTTTCATGAAATACTAACTTTCCTCCCTTGTCTTAAACCTCTTAACTCCGTGATGAACATAGAGCCTTTGCTGTCTCTCTCCATTGCACCCTGTTGGTGGCCAAACACTTTATTTCTCTGCATGTTTTCTTTGTTTTTAATTCATTCATAATAGTTCTGCATCTTGTCGTTTTAGATCTACCCCTCTTTTGTTTATCTTGGAGTTTCTAGTCCAGCCCCTATTTTGCTTTGAATTTTTCCTGTTTTCTGATAGTATGTCCAATCTATCGCCATTTGGGCTCACTAATTTGTAATTCTATTGGTTTTTGCTTACTGGGTTACAATATTTTGTGAAGTCATTTTATATTATGAATTCTTCTGATACATTTGTTGCCTGTAACTTATTTGTATTTGCCTTCAAGTAATACCAAGTTTCTGATCAATATAAAAGTATGTACTGATTTAACATTTGAATTGAATATTCTTATTTTTGTTTCATTTAATTTTGTCCTGTAAACTTAAAATTAATTCAGAATGGTGAAATCACTACATGCTTTATTTAACCTGTTCACAATATCTTGATCTGTACCTGCTCTGTTATTTATAATTGTTTCTAGCTAGGTAAATCTGTTAACTTTTTCAGTTGAACAGTTTTTGAGATATATGTTATTATTCTGCTTTGGGTTAAATTTCAATATCTTTAAAATTATAATCTCCATCATAAAAATTCATAAGCAAAAAAAAAAATTTATTTGTTGCTTCTTTTATGAAACTTTTATCTAAAAAGTAATGTCAAATACTTTGTTTCTCTTTATCCAGTGCAATAAAATAAAACAATCTGATGGGGCCAAATCACCTTCTCCTGTATGTGGCTCTCCTCAAATCAGACCTGAATCTAGTGATCAAGCTGTGTTCAGACGATGTAGCCCTGATCCTGGTCAAAGTTATATGTTGGAAACTCGGAAACTAGCAAGCTTAAGTAACATCTCTCCTCCTGTTATCATTCCACCACCTAACCAAAGTGCGTATCACATGCTGTATTAAATAAGAAAATGTTTTTTTTTTTTAAATTTATAACAGAAAACGGTAAATAGGATGCTGTACTGTAGGTGAAATCTGTTTCACCTATATTAGTAATTTAAAATTTAATTTCTAGAAAAAGTGAGTTTAGTTAAACCCCAGAATAAACTATGAAATTTTAAAATATGCTTTAAATTATATTTTTTATAACAGAAAACTAGATAGCAGAAGAAATAGTAGAAAATGGTTAATATGATGCTGCACTGCAGGTGAAATCTTTCAAAGCGAAATTCATTCAACTTACATTAGTAATTTAAAATTTACAGTATAGAAACAAGTTAGTTCAGTTAAACCCCAGAATAAACTATGAAATTTCAAAATATACAAATAATTTTGAGAAAGAATGTCACAGCGGGGAAATAATTCTGCCATAATTTGTTTGCTTTTTGTTTTTTTTAAAATAAATTTTTTCAGAATTTTTTTTAAAATTTCATTGTCTACTCTTGAGTTACTTGAACTTAATTTTTTCTCTCCATAATTTACATTTTAAGTTGCCTATGAAAGTGAAACATAACTTACCATAAATGGTTTCTTCTGCAATATAGCATCTTCTTAAGAATGTNTTGTTATATGGATTTGAATGATTGTTTTGAATTCTTAGAATTTTGTGCATTTGCAATGTACCTAAGTTAGTAGCTAGCGAAGCGAGCTTGGTTTGCGAAGCAAACCATATAAGATTGCGTAGCAATTTTGGGGGGTTGGCGAGCATTATCGAGCAGTGGGCGCAGCACACTAGTTCTGCCATAATTCGTTTGCTTTTTGGTTTTTTTAAGAAAATAAATTTTAAAGGAATTTTTTTTTAAATTTCATTGCCTATTCTTGAGTTACCTGAACTTAATTTTTTTTCTCTCCATAATTTACATTTTAAGTTACTTATGAAAGTGAAACATAACTTACCATAACTGGTTTCTTCTGCAATATAGCATCTTCTTAAGAATATAGGAAAGATATAATTCTTGTACTAATGTCTTGTGAAAAACATTAACTTTTTCTTCTGGCTCTAGTTGAAACATTTTCCTACCGATGGTGCTGTAAATCTATTTTTTTAATTGCTTCTTAATGTAGAGAAAATTTGTTCCCCAGTTACCATATGTGGTTGATGGTGAACATTTTAAAAACATTGAAAATATATTGTAAATTTCACATTTTTGGGTGTACTGCTTGCAATGTCATCCATTGAATTTTATTTAAACTAAAAATAGGACATTTAAAAGGAAAGATATGTCTTGTCATATCTTTTTATTTTAAACTTAAAGGCCCTTTTAAAGCAGAAAAGGGATTATTTTTTCTTCATGTCAACTTGCAAAGAGTTACTTAATTGTGTTCTAATTATTTAAACAATTAATTAATGGTTTTAATTATTTTTTGTTTCCTTTAAACTATCTAACTTTTGTTCAATGAAGTTACCAAATTTTAAATTGTAGGTATTTTTTAAATCTGAATTTTGTAAAATATTAAATTTGTTAACTAGATTCAATATAGCACTCATAAATAAAAAAAAAACATTTAGTTAATTTTTAAATAAAGAAATAATGTGAAAATTCTCTGTAGGGGAACTTGGGAGGAAAAAAAATCCCTTTTCTGTCTGAAGAAGAATCCTAATTGTTTTTCTCTTATAAACTTTTACAAATTGTCAGTCATTTGTCTGATACTTTCTCCATTAACTTTTAAATCGTTGCATAAGTAATAATTTTTTGTCGGTCATTTTTTGAGCTTGATATTTCTTTACATTATTTATTCAAAACTTAAATTTTTCTCTGAATTTAATATATCTTTATATTAGGATCTCTCAGTCGATGTTCTACTCATTCCAAAGAAGACAGTAGTATTCAAAGGCTAAGCCAAAGCTCTATGTCCATTAGTGGATCTATGCCCTTGTCATTTATTTTAGATGAGACATCTAAAGACAACCAAAGAGTAAAACAAGAAAACCAAGAATTAGTTGAAAAGTAAGATATATATATATTTCTATGTAAATATGTGTTACTCGAGTAGTTTTATATTAGTTAAAATTTGGGTCAGTAAATAAACTTTTCGCAAAAAAATAAAATGAACCATTGACGATATATTTTACTGCAACAAAAAGATCTTGAAAGTGAACCCTTTATAAAATTCTTCTGAAAACAGGATTGATGATATTTTTAATTCATAGTCAGTAAAACTCCTTCAAGGACATCTTTTTTGTAATTTTTTTTCTCACAAAATTTTTACTTTATTATCACATGTTCACGAAAACAGGACACTTGTCGAACAAACCTGATGGTATGGTAATTTTGGATTCAGGAAAATAAGTAGATTTTAATTTTACAAAAATATATAGGCAGGTCACTAGTTCTTTGTGAATTTTCACAAACTCAGCACTGTATTTTTCAAAATTCCCAAAATTATAACAACTATTTTTTTTTCTTTACAATTTTACGAAACAGACCTTTCACAAAAAGTCTAAAATAAAGCCTGCTATATATGAAAAATCATATTTTTTTCTTAATTGGCATATTTTTCTCTTCATTTGCGTTAATTGGCATACTTTTTCATTTAAGTTTTTTGCTCTCCCATTTGTAATATTAAAATTGGAAATAAATACTGTAAAACTTCTAGGAAAGACCATCTTTATTTACGACCACTTTTTTGGCAGGCGTGAAAATTTTTCCCATAGACTTAGTGTTGAAGAAAACCTTTTGGAGAGACCATTAAAACCTTTGCCAGCGACTGAGCAAACATCTACACCAAATGCAGGGTTAAATAAAAAAAAATACAAAAGAATATCAAAGCAAAAAATTTAACATAACAAATAAGTAGATCAAAAGGGATTCAAAATATTTTCAAACAATATCCTTATGTCTTTTATTAATGTTATTCTGATGATAACCAGAAATATAAGAAAACTAAATCTTACTATGTGATTTCTCCAACTAATAAAAATGCGTCACTTTTGACAATAGAAATCTGTGTTAGGAACTTCTGTTTTTATGTTACATATAGATTTATATATTGTGTTCATTTAAGTAACACAATTTCTGATTTAATAATATTCCCATTTCTAATTGGCTGGTTTGTGCATTCAAAGTGCAAGACTTCCGTATTGTACATAATTTCATTGGATCCTACAACACCATCATTCCATTTTTATATGTACAGTAGGGAACCGATTATCTGGAACGATCGGGACCATCGCTATTCAGGACAACTGATTTTTCCGGTTTTCTGAATCGCTACAAAAAGCCGTTTTTTTTATTGTTAAACCCAATTAAAAAAAATTATATTTGGAAATAATCTTAAAAAGAAGAAAAAACGAAGTAATACACTAATGATTATTTCCAAAATGATAGTAAGGTAAACATCTTTCCAAAAGGAAAGAAAAATCCTAAAATCTTATGAGGGAAAAAAATTTTTTTTTAAAAATGGCGGGAAAATTTATCGAATTTTGTTCCGGTTTTTTGGTTTTCCGGATAACGGGTTCTATACTGTAGTAAGAAATGTAACGCACAATGCAGAACTGTTCATTCCAACAATTGAAACAGTACAAGAATAGCTTTTTGTAAAAACTTAGAAAATATTTTGCTTTTCTTATCTTTTTTTAATATTATGTTTATGTTCTTACCATTACAAATATAGTTTTTTTTTTTTTTTCATTAAACTTTCTTGAAAATTTATTAACAGGACAGAAGCTCTTTCTGCATTGAGCAATTGAATGAAAAATCATTGTTTAGAGTTTCTATAAATAGTTTAATGTTTGGATCTTGTCTCACTGAGAAAAGTTTATAACAGTGTCTTCCCGTTCCAAGATTTTCAATTATAAAATAATTTAAGCGAAACATATTTTTTAAAATATTTCTAACTAAGTAGATACCCCTTTATAAATTTTTTAGACGAAAATAAATGACCAGAATTATTCACTGACGTGGGTTAAATTATTTACTATTAACTAGTGTAAGATTGTTTACTAATTTTTTTTCAACTCTGTTTTAGATTTCAATCTATGATGGAACTTTTACTGAGTTACAAAGATTCTGATGCAACCGAGACACTAAAATAATAACGGGAACTTTACTTTTGTGTATTGAACTAGAAGTTGTGAATCAATAATTTAGTACTTTATGTCAAGTCAAAACATTCTAAGCATATTTTATATTTGTTACTTTATAATTCCAATTCTCTTTATTATGAGTTTAATTGTTATTTGATCTCTTAATTTTTTTGATCATTGATATCTATATTGTGTATATATTCCATGTTTTTAGAATGATTCTCAAGAGGACGCTATACTGTGGTAAGAGCTTTTAATGCAAATTTTGTTTTACAGTTTTCTTCTATACTCTGTAATCTTGCCATAATTTGTTTGCTTTTGATGTTTAGAAGGAAAAATCAAACATTTACAACTTCATGGTTTTCTCTAGATTGCCCGAACTCCCTTTTACTATACTTGAAATTTTAAATTACTACTGCAGTATAGAGTCCTTCTAAGGGCTAGTGGAATTATTTTTAAAGTTTTAACAACTAGTTGACAGTTGATTATTGCGTAGATATTTCATTATCTTTAGATGTTATTAAATGTACATTCTCAGGATAGTGCCTTTTTGCTATTGTTTGTTCAAAAATATCTGTTGCAGCAACTGTGTCAATTGTAAGTACCTGAAGTTGATATGAGTTATTAATCCACATTGCCGTTTTTATTGTTATTGGTACTGAAAAAATTTAAAAATACAAATGATTGTAATAAATGTGGTGATTTTTCTGTATAATATTGTTAAAATTTATGCCAGTTCTGAATTGAGTCTAATTAAAATTTTGTCTTGGGGGCTCAGAGGCCCCCATCAGGGGGGAAGGTGGGTGCACGATGAGCCCACTTGAAGCTTGGGGGGAATTTTTGTACTAAATAAAACGAATAGTTTTGGGGGGGAATTTAGAATTGCCCAAAAATGTGCCCAACGAGGGCCGGGATAGCCTGGTTGGTAGGGCGCTGGGCCCATATCCAAGAGGTCGTGGGTTCGATCCTCGCCTGCCGAAGACTCCCCGTGTAGTAAATGGTGACTGATGCACGTTAAATCTGTCAAGTCTCAAAGTCCTCCATGTTCCCACAACAAATCAATACCTCTGGGGGTACTGATCCAGGAGTTTCCTTGTCTTCTGGATTGGTTCAAAATTACAAGGCTACGGAGTTGAACGTAAGTAGTCGTAAACCCATGAAATTGGGTCGGCTGTGCAACGACAGTTATAAAATAAAATAAAAAGAGCTTGGGGGGATGGGGGCCACTGTGTGGGCTTTTCTATAAATTTCCTCATCATCACATCAAATAATAACTGTGGAATGCTACTGTAATCAACTAATTAAACAGATTTTGGTCAATAGTAAATGTTTTCGCTCAACTTCAGCCTTTCGGACAAATTCAGCCTTTGGTGACTTTTTGAAGAATAATTTGAATAGCAAAAAGGACAGATTCCTCATTTCGTGGATAAAGTCAAAAACTTCTTCTGAAGATAAACCACACAGAAATACTGAATCTGTATATTTTACAAACAATACTGAATAACAATACTGNGGTTCGATCCTCGCCGGCCGAAGACTCCCCGTGTAGTAAATGGTGACTGATGCACGTTAAATCTGTCGAGTCTCAAAGTCCTCCATGTTCCTACAACAAATCAATACCTCTGGGGGTACTGATCCAGGAGTTTCCTTGTCTTCTGGATTGGTTCAAAATTACAAGGCTACGGAGTTGAACATAAGTAGTCCTTAACCCATGAAATTGGGTCGGCTGTTCAACGACGGTTATAAAATAAAATAAGAATGTGATCAAGAGCTTGGGGGGATGGGGGCCACTGTGTGGGCTTTTCTATAAATTTCCTCATCATCACATCAAATAATGACTGTGGAATGCTACTGTAATCAACTAATTAAACAGATTTTGGTCAATAGTAAATGTTTTCGCTCAACTGATAGTATAGGAATGTCATTGTAAGGGCAAATTCAGCATTTGGTGACTTTTTGAAGAATAATTTGAATAGCAAAAAGGACAGATTCCTCATTTAGTGGCTAAAGTCAAAAATTTCTTGTGAAGATAAACCACACAGTTTAAAAAAAAGCAAATCTTCGGCGGGTGACAAATCAGAAGAATTTTTCAGAATTTTTAATATTTATGTTGAACTAAAGTAAACGGTAGAGTACTAAACGGGAATGGGAGCAAAGTGTTAAACTAGTAAACGAGAGTAAAGTGTTAAACTAGGAAGAATAGTGAAAGGGTAAATGTGTGTGTAATACTTTTTGAATTGTTTATCTAGTTTCTCACAGTAAAGATGTTGCTTGTATGAAATCTTTTCCTCTTATTCATAAGTGCTTTGTATATTGTAAATATGTTAGCTTTTACGAGTCCTTAGTTTTTAGATCATTCTGCATTTTAACTGTGAAAGCCATATATATATATATATTTTAATAACCTTCATCAATATATTTTTGAATATGCAAGGAAAAAAATTGAGTGAAAAAAAGAACAGAAATATTAGTTGTGTTTCTTAAAAGAAGATATGGGGAAAAAAGTGGCTATAAATTTCCAAGATTCCTGTTAGCTCTTTAAAATATGTGAATTGCCTATCTATTTAATATGTTTTGAAATAACCTCCATTAGTTTTCTTCTTTTGTTATCTTTTTCAAACATGTTTCTGTTCCCTTGTTGGTGAAACCCCTTAGTGTTCTTATTGCAATGTGTTTGCTTTGTACTTTCTCATTTGTGTTCAGGCACTGATGAAGGTTCTTGTTTATAGAACCAAAATTATAGTATGTTCTGTCAGGGTGTGTAGCGGTTTTAAAAAGTGTTTAAAGATGCTGATATTCGATTTTCGTTTTTTAAAAGCCCTTATGTTTATTCCCACTGTTTTGCTTTATTTGAAATTTGGGTCTGAAACATTTACAGCCAAGTACAAAAGCAGATTAAGTTAAGACTTCAAAACATATTGAATGGTAACATGTTATTGGTATGTAATTTACACATGTTAAAGTTGTCCTGGAAATTACTAGCTGCTCCTTGTAGAATGCCATCTTTATACCAAACGAGAGAATAGAATGAAAATCCACGAAGGATATAAGGTAATAATATGTTGTAAGAGCTTGTTAAAGTTGTCCTGGAAATTTACTAGCTACACCTTGTAAAATGCCATCTTTATACCAAACTAGAGAATAGAAGGAAAACTCACGAAGTGTATAAAGTAATAATATGTTGTAAGAGCTTGTTTTTGCAAGGATTTTATATTACTGTTATGCTGGCATAACATCAAAGTCATATAATTATGTCATGTTTGTTATTATACTGTCTTTTTCAAGAGCTTTTACTAATATTTTATGAGTTCATACTTTTGGAATTACAAAAACTGTAAATAACAATTCCCATAAGTCTGTGCCCTGAATTATTTAATTTAAATATAGATTAAGAATGTAATGTTATTGGTAAAAAATTATATTGTAAAAATATTTGTGACTTGTTTTATTAGTGACAGTATTGTTTTTTCTTAATAAAACAATTTATATACTTATGAGGACTGTAATTTTGGATGTCCTAAGCTGGTTTTGTGTGTTACAGTATTTACTGTCCGAAAGAGAATGAAAGTATTCAAGACTTTTGATTCTAAAAAGAGTTAAAATATTTTGAATTAATAATATAACCACTATGCATACTATCAATTGCCCATTTTTTGCATGTACAATTTTATGTCAAAAATATACGATTAAAAAAAAGTTTATTTATTTTTAAACAATAGTTCTGAAATGCATAAAATTTAACTATTGAAAATTTGATCATGACTAACAAAGTCTGCTAACCATTTTGATGCCTAAAATTTAACTACTTAAAATTTAATCATAGTTTTAACAAAAATTCGATCATGATTAACAAAGTCTGCTAACCATTTTGATGCCTAAAATTTAACTACTTAAAATTTAATCATAGTTTTAAAAAATTTGATCATGTCTAACAAAGTCTGCTAAACATTTTGATGGGTAAAATTTTTTATTGCTGCTGCGTTGAAAAACCCTAAAAATTAGAAATTGGAAGGGAGTTGCCATAGGCGCTGGCGTTTGTCAGCTGTTGAGGCAGCCAAGGCCTGCAAGGGGCTGTTGCCCTGACTAAGAAGAAGAAGCTGCATTGAATGAAAATACTGCTTTCGTAAAGTAAACATAATGTTTATCTTTAACTTTCGATTCCTACAATTTATGCCTTAAGAATAACAAAGTTCTCATTTAAGAAACTATGCAATTCTTGCAAAGCTTGTAAGCTTTTTTTTTTTTTTTTTTTTTAAAAATTATAGTTTGAAACGCGTGATATTGAAACGTTGAATTAAATGTACAAGGGAGCATTTTTATAGCATGCTTAACTGAATGATTTTTCAAATATTTCATTTTTATGTATAATTATTCTATGAATTCTTACCAAAAGTTAACTAATGTCTTTGTATGGATGTTTAATTGTAGTCTTTTGTTATTTAATTGTAGTCTTTTGTTATTTGTATGTTTTATTATGGTGCTCAAATAAATTTCTTTATGAAAATGAATTAGTTTCATTTATTGAATGTCTAGTTGTACAGTACTACCAGGTAATCCATAATTTTTATTATTTGTATTTACATTACTTTGTCCGCCATGTATAAAAATCTTGTTTGTTCTAAGAACTCTTTTGATTTTACAAGGCTGCTGATTGTATATACAGCAATGTAAAATAATATTATAAAACATTTTGTAACTCTTTCAATAATCTTGTTGAATGAGTGATGACATTAAATTATGATAGGCATTCCATAGCATTAGTTAATTTATGAACTTTCAATAAATTCTCTTCCTTTGCTGTAAAACTAATTTTAAAATAATCAAGCGTTTTTCAGACATACATCTATATATAT